TCGGGATGGATGAGAGTCAGGATGACGGTCGGGATGGTCGGGATGGTGTTGCCTATAGTACGCGCCCGATTCCGATCGTATGATTCCGATCTGACCAAGCAGAGTCCGATCCTATGATTCCGATCTGACCAAGCAGATTCCGATCCTATGATTCCGATCCGAACAACACCCCAGGTTTCGCAGGTTTCGCACATGCTGAGGCTTGATGACCACCATCCATTCCTACACTGCCACCCAGAAGACGGTGGATGGCGTCTCTGCCAAGGACTGGCGCGGTGGCCGTGCGGCCTCCTGCAACATTATCCCATCGGCCACGGGAGCCGCAAAGGCCGTGGGCGAGGTGTTGCCCAGCACCAAGGGCAAGTTGACAGGTGCGGGGGCCTGGTGAAGACCGGGCGACCAGACCCGGGTGCCCCGATGTTCGGGATGGATGAATAGTTCACCGTCACGAAGGGTACCAGTATTGAAAAACGACGGTGTGGACCTGTTTTTGTAAATGCTTTGGTCAAGGGGACGGCGTGGTGCAAATGTTCCGTTTGCCACAAAATTTGTTTCCAGCCAGCAGTTTTGTCGCAGCATCAAAAACCAACATGTCCAAAGGCTTTGCCTTCGATGGTTCTTTCAATCTGGTGCTGCGGTTTGCTGCTGGTTTGCTATTGTTGCTGCTGCCGGAGGAACACCTGAGGAGCGCTTTTTGAAACGTTCCCAGACAGGTATCGGTTTGTGGGCGATGTGAACTACGGCCCAACCTCCAGCTATGGATGGTGACCCGTGGGTACTACAACCATGCGTTCTTTTTGCAGCGACCCGGTGGAACTGCCCGCAACCCCAATGATGCTTCGGAAGGCCTCCTGCGTCCCCACGAGGTATGGCCTTCCGCGTCCCCACCCCGGATGTCTCTGTGGTGGACTTGACCTTCACCGCCGAGAAGGACACCTCCATTGAGGAGATCGATGCGCTCATGAAGAAGGTGCGGGTGACGGAGGTTTCAACCACAGAAACCTCTTCTTCGTTTCTGGTAGAAACGACATGAGTTCCATGAATACCTGTGGTCTGTTGGGTGACTATTTGGGATTTCACTTGGTGAATCATGAACAGTTTTCTTTGATGAGATGAGTGAGCATTCCAATATAGATAATGTGTGCTGTGAACTATATTGTTTTCTATCATGATGACGATTCGAGATGTTGCGTTCTACTATGTTCTACCAAAGGGTCTTCTTCCCCTGTTTGGATCAACACATTTGTGGATTGACACTTAAACAATGGTTAAGTTAACCGGTTAAGACGTGGTTAAGACATGTGACATGTGGCCAGGCTAAGACTTGTCAAGACTATATACAAATCTTTTGATGAATCAATCCATCACCTCCCGCATTCGCTTGGGGTTTCTTGCGCTGTCGTTGTTCTTTAGGCCAGTGAGACGTACATGAAGGGTGTCCTCTCCTACACGGACGAGGAGTTGGTATCCTCGGACTTCATCCACAACGTGAACAGCTCCATTTACGATTCCAAGGCCAGGACCAAAGCCGTAAGAGTCCAAGTGTAGTATATAGTGGTGTAAAATGAGTCATTGGAAGTTCTGCCAAAGAGGACAGTTCTGAACGGACCGGGACACAGCGCGGCTTCTTTATAAGGGGAAGACGGGCAAGGGTTTAGAGTTCTTTCTATGCACCAACAAAGGAGATAAAACATCTGGAGATGTTGATGAGAGCAAGCAAAGACGTCAGAACATGCAGCAACCAGCATGACCATGCACCCATCCTTGCCCATGCCACTTTAGAAAAAAAAGAAAACATCGACTGAAATGCGACCTCAGAGAGTCCGGGCGACTGACCAGAGGGTCTGCCTGGTTGGACTGCAGAGGCGACTTTGCAGAACAACTTGAAGGGTGAGAAGCGCTTCTTCAAGATCGTCGCTTCTTCTTGCATGGCACGTCCGAACGGCGACGTGGGTCCGAACGCACCTGGTGGAGCCCGGTCGGTTCACCTCCGTCCGTCCGTTCGACCCAACGGATCGATCGATCTCGGTTTTTCCAAGGGGGCAAAGGTGATCTGGTTATATACTGCGGTGGTTTCAGAGTGGGTGGCACAGGGGGCACCTGAGGTCGACCCGAGATGGGGATCCATAGAAAAAGCACTCGGTTTTGGCGAATTGCGCCATCTACTCTCAATCCACTATATAATTCAAAGAGATTCAGACGGTCAGGTGGAGATGGGATGAGATCGGATGGTCAGGCTGGAGACTCTTGAATCAACGAATCCTCAGGACGAATGGCAAGAACAAGCAGCATGTGAGTGTGTGTTATACTAGGGATTCCCCCTGGCCCAATGGGTAGATGGACACAAACTCAAAGCACTACATTGCCATACAAAACAGTGTCCAGCTGCTTTGCTGATGTGCTCCTGGCATCCAAGGTGTCTTGGTACGACAACGAATGGGGGTACTCCAACCGAGTCGCTTGAAGTTTGCTTAGTTTATTTTGTTCTTTGATTACGTGGTCAAGGGGATCCAAAGAAGCTCATGAGCAGGGTGGCTTGAGCTAAGACTGTGAAGGGACAAGATCATGCCCCACTGCAAAAAGAGCTTGTCCTGAGGTATACACAGACTTTTTTTCTTCCATGCTTTTCATATAGGCCTATTGTTCTTTTTCAGGAAGTATCAAGCTATCCCAGGTCGTGGATCTCCTGAAGTACATGATTGCAGCCTAGTCGTGTGCAACTGCCATGCGTCCCAATCGACTGTGCTGATCAACCGCTGTGTTCAGTAGTCCCAACCATCACATCTAGAGATTGGATGCCAAAAGCCTCAGAATCGGTTGATCATCCTGTTTCAAGAGGGGTGTTGCTTTCTTGAGTGGCACAATTTTCGCTTCGAGCGGCCCAAGCGTGGTCGCGAAAACGACTCTTGCAGATGTGAAAGAAGATGCGAGGTGTGAAGTGTTACTGTACGTGGCTTTGCATGCGAATTCTGTGACTAAATACTAAACTGGCTAGAATGATCATGTGCAATCAATTTGCAAGAGCTAAAGTTAAGCGCCTTTTCATCACATGCTGGTGGTCTTGACAATGACTTCCAGCCGACAGGGCAAACAAAAATCAAAAGATCTTGGGCTACTCCCCCACCCAGTCGCAGACGGAAGGCTAGTTGTACTAAGGTTTGGTCCAAAGAGCAAGTCTTGCCGGCCTAGAAAACAAGAGCGGTGCTTTGATAGGGGGGTGCTTGAGATTCCTCAATCACGTGCAGGTTTTACAGAGGTCGTCACCCCGACTGGGTGAGCAAGCAACCCAGATTTTAAGAACCTCATCGACAGGGGTGTTTGTCGAGAGATGCTTTTCCTCGAGCCGCCGCTTGGCCCAGGGACACCGCGGCTTCCGGCGGAATCCTTGCCATGCTTGAGGCACGGGGTTTAAACATTTGCAGTGTGAACTCAATGGACTGTAGTGGACTGCACTCCGAAGCCAAGACTGATGGACTGCACCGCAAGAATTGGACTGATGGAATCTGGATTAGAAGACCGAACAAACCCAAGATCCCGACCAGTCAGACTCGACTCGGTACAACCAGGAAAAACCGCATGCACAGGTCACACCTGTTCAGTTCCCAAAGCAGACCGTTTTGTTCCATCACTTTGCTCCACGGTTTCCCTCTCCCTAGAAGTCAAAGACCATTTTATAAATGGTTGATCTGGTTTTGTAGTGCAAAACCCTTAGTGAAACAATGGTGGTTCGACTTCTAGGGCTCTGGTTTTTCACGACAGCCACGCGCCGGACCTGATTCGCCGGACCCCGTCGGCCCGTCGGCCCCGCGTCGGCCCCGCTTCGCCGGACGCGGCGCGAGCTTCGCGGGGGAGGAACACCCCGCCGATTCGGCCGTGGCGGCAGGTGGTGGAATCCGACTTCGGCCGCAGCCTGGCACAGGCGGAGACCACCGAAGCGACCAAGGCGAGGGAGAGCGGGATGAGGGACGGCAGAGTGAACGGTCTGTAGGAGGCAACGGCCCGCCCTCAACTGCACGTGACACATCCACCGTGCCGTTCAAAGCACGTTCTGTAGGAGGCACAGCGCGGGAAGTCGGGCTCCAATCCTTGTAGAAAAGAAGACGTTTTGCCACACCACCAATTCTACCACCCTCATCGCGTCGCTTTTTCAGCCGTGCTGCCGCCGGCTTAGCCGCATAAAGCCGTGTGATGTGGCGGTCTGTGGCGGTCCCAGGCGGAGGAATACGACTCCATGACCAAGCAGAACAAGCTCACGAAGGTGAACCCGGACAGCGCGCGCCACGCACGTTCCGGTGGTTTGGACGTCGGGTGGACTGGACGACCGGACTCCAGGTGGCGCCAGACCCAGCCGGGAGACCGTGGGGACCAAGCTGTGCAATTTGGGCCGAGCTGCTTGAGAAGTCTGAGAGAAAGGTCCAGTTCCAACAAGACCAACAAGCCTCGTTGCTGGTTCATCCCTGGAGGTCCAAGATCTTTTCCTTTTTATATACATGGTTGATCTGGTTTGGTAGTGTCAAATCCTTAATAAGACTTGTGCGGTTGTTCGGTAAAGACATGTAAAGACGATTAAAACAAGGGTGGTTCGACTGGTTCGACCTCTGGGGATCGTATGAATACCAGTTGCTGATTGTGTAGTGCTTTCGGACCCGTTCTAAGTCGCTGGCGAAGGCTTCGCCGGACGAGCCGACTGCACCTGCCGACCCGGGACCGACGGGCTGCTCCGGCACTGCCAGGTGCAGAAGGATGCGGATCAGAAGTTCAAGTCGAAGCATGGCAGAGTTGCCTCCCACTGGTGCCGGCAGTGCCGGCAGTGGCCCCACAAAAAAGCAAACATGCAGGGGCTGCAGGGGGCATGGCCTCAATTAATCCGACCTCACGGGTCTCTGACCACCAACCGACCCAGGAGTTTTTGGAGGAAACGGGGGTAGTGTTCGACCCAGGAGGTGAGTGGATCATGCACCGCTCTCCTCCAATAGGGAGGACTTCCCATGTTCCACCCCCTGGGATCCCCTTATGGGGTCGAACATGGGAAAGAGGTCTACCCCCCGTCGGGCCCTTGGGCCTTTTAAGGTACTCCGAGTCAAAGGCGCACTGCATACCATGTACACTTAAGCAGATTTGCACAACTTGACCCGCCATTTCGGAGGGGTTTTCTGTAACAGTGCTCTAAGGAAGACAGCTCAGAGCCTGGACAAAGCGGTTGGGGTCCTCGGCGAGTCCTCGGGGGTGGGAGGGTCCATATTTGTGACACGTGGCATGGGACCACAGGATGTACTTCTGTTTCAAAGTGGAAAGTACTCATCAAGCAGCAACTTTGGTCCATTTCTCCCAGTCGATCGTGGTTCGCTGCAGCGAACCTCAGGTCGTCGACCTCACGTCTGACAAAGATGCCAACAAGGCGAGATCTCGTTGCGGCGCTGGCGGCGCTGGCGACGGCGGTTGGACGGCGGAGCAGTTGGGTGGATCTCGGAGCCCCAACAAAGGCCAAGCTGCAGAAACTCCTCACCGGTGGGTTGACTTGCCCAGGAGGAGTTGGCAGCTGTGGAGAGTTACAAGGCAGGGGAACCTTGTGATGGAAGAGGTCAGTGGATGGCCAGAAACAGATGGCGACAGTGCAGAGGGTGGAAATCCGCAGGCAAAATGGATACTTTGCAGGTCCAAATCAGTTCTGCAACTTTTGGATGGTGTTTAGGTGTTTATCAGTTCCCGGTGATATTAGAACTTCGAGCTTCTCTTCTAACGTGTTGGCTTTTGGCCAACCGCATGCCGGGGGGCGATGACCGGGCCAGTCGAGTCGAGTCGTGGTCGTGGTTCCAAGAATCGGTTGATTGAGCTGGGCCAAGGGGCCCATCTGGGGAGAATTGAGAATTGCGAAACGTCACTTCATGGTTTGGGGTCGTGCACACACACACACACGTACACCCTCTCTCTATGTATGTTAAACACCAGATAGGCATTAAATATGATTAAATAAATACCCCGACATGGTGTTTTGCCAGGAGAGTCTGCAGAAGCAGTGTGCAGACGGGGGCATGTCCTACGCCGAGCGTGCTGCCAAGCGCGAGGCAACGTGCTGCGAAAAAAAAGCGCGCGTTCAACGCGTTGGACGACGTAGACAGAGCACTTGTTGGATGTCTCAGATGTGACCTCCTATCGCTCCCCTCCGATCATGCATGTGCTCTTCCTGGCGTTTTCTACTTGGACAAGTACTCTCCAACATGGAGAATTCATCATGGAAGTGGAAAACCACCTTTTGATCGTGGGGGCGCCCCACCGGCATGGGGGGCCAAAATCGATGCTATTTAGATTCCATTTTGAAGGACAGTCTCGCACGAAAGGTGGTCCGGGAGAGGTCTGCTTCTTGACTGCGCACTCGTGGTGCCGTGCACATTTTCGGACTTGGTGGTCACTTTTCATGGCGCACACGGGTATCCGTGTTTTGGTGGTCTGAAGTCGACTCTTCAGAATTCGGGATTTGGAACTTGTGTTTGCAAATGCTTTTGTTGAGAAACGCACTGGCAGGGCTGCGCGACTTGAACCTTGATGTGTATGTAGAGTTCGTGGCAGGCACAGCACATTGTGGATGCCAAGTGCAGGTTTTGTGGCTGGCGCATGCACTCGTAAACCTCGCGCAGGCTTCACAGCAGGCTTGTGAGCTTCACTGCCCAGATTTTGTGGCAGGAAGATGCAGGAAGTGCAGAAGCAACACTTTTTGAACCTCGGGATGCAAGCTCCGTGGCAGGCACAGCTTTGTGAACCTTGAAGTGCAGATTTCGCCGCAGGCAGCTTTTTGTGATCCTTGAAGTGCAAATACTCTCACACGTGTGCTCTATTCTTCGTGCGCTCTGATCGGTGTGCTCATCATGTGTGCTCTCATGCGTGCTTGTGTGTGCTCTCACCTGTGCTGCCACACGTGTGCTCTTTTGTGTGTGTGTGAACCGCTTGGAATCACGGGGAATCCGTGCTCTTTTTTGTTTTTGCTTTTGATCAGCTTGAAAGCAGGGGGGGCAACCACATTGCAATGTGGCTGATATCTGGAAGGGAAGCCTTCTGGACGTACCTGCTTGGTTGTGATGTTTGTAGTCACATCCCATTCTAACCTCAGGCTGCTTAGGTGGAGTTTCGTCGTGCTTGTCGACCGCTCGACTCTCGGAATCTTGGAATTGGCATTGGCATTGGCATTGAAGGTTTGCAGAGAGAGTTCATGCTCACTTACTCCCCTGGTTTCCTTAGGTTTTTTACTTAGGCTGCGTGTGGCAAACCGCAATCGTGTCAGTACGCCTTTCCTAAGTGTGACTCTCCTTAGTGAGGGCCCAGGGTGTACCCGAGGAGTGTCCCCAGCAGGAGGCTTACGTTAAAGTTATTTGCCAAGAATTGCCGAACCATTGAATTTGAGCAGGCAGCTTTCGAGCAAGCCGTTAGGTGACCAGAGCGGTCCAAGCTGCCCGCCATCTTGGCATGGCGCAAGGTGACCAGAGCGGGGTCAGTTGCAGCCTTGCGTGCACACATAGCGTACACATTCAAGCCAGGCTAGGTCTACCCAGGTCGCTTTAATGAAGTTTGGTTTCATCGGTTTTTGGCCCCTCCACTTGGTTCTCCTTTTCATCCTTTTCCCTTCACATACACTTTCTTTCCTCTTTCTTTTCATGTCTTTCTGGCTTCATGCTTCGTCGTCTCATCCTTTTTCTCTTTTGCGCGCGCGCCGGTCCGACCCTTCGTGCGCACGTGCGCCGGTACACGAAACCCAGGTCTGAGGTCGTCCAAGTTGTTACAAGGAGGTTTGGCTCATCTGGTTGTTCCTGGTCACTTGGCTCCTTTTCATCGCAACCACATACACCTTGTCTGTCTTGTCTTCCTGTCATGTCCTCATTCGTTTGTCTTCTTGCGCGCGCGTGCGCATGCACATAGTCTAAACCTTAGTTTTCCATGCCTCCCCTTTTGGGAGGCGTGTGTGTGAACCCCCCGGAATCACAGGGAATCCGTTGATTTTGTTTGTTTTTGTTGTTTTTGATCAGCTTGAAAGCAGGGGGGCAATCCCACATTGCAGTTGATTGGCCAACGAAGAGGGCTGCAATGTGGCTGATATCCGGAAGGGACGCCTTCTGGACGTACCTGCTTGGTTGTGATGTTTGTAATCACATCCCATTCTAACCTCAGGCTACTTAGGTGGAGGTAGGTCGGCAGACTTTGCACGTTTCGTCATCCTTGTCGACCGCTCGACTCTCGGAATCTTGGAATTGGCATTGGCATTGAGGGCTTGCAGAGAGAGTTCATGCTCACTTGCTCCTCCGGTTTCCTTAGGTTTTTTACTTGGGCTGGCGCGTGGCAAGCTGCAATCGTGTCAGTGCGCATTTCCTAGGTGTGTGTGCCCGCATTTGTTTTCTCGTGTGTGTGTGTGTGCTCTCTCATACTGGCGCTTTCATATTGGGCATTCTCATGTGTGTCTGTGTGTCTGTGTGTGTGAGTGCGCTTCGGTCGCAGATTGACCCTTTTTTCTTGTTCTGTTTAAAACTGTTTGAGATTGCTTGCCGCAAAAAAAAAGGAGTGAGTCCTACAGTTGACCGTTTGGGGCCCCACCCACAGTTTGGGGCATTGTGCTGGCACCGAGAAACCGCCAGCTCCGCTCCGCTCCGTTTGGACCGCCATTTCTTCCGGTGGAAGCAGTCGCAGGAAGAGATCCAGGGCCTGAAGGTTCGAGTCGCGGGGTCGAGTGACCAACCTGGATTCGGATCTGAGGGAATCATGGGAATCCCGAGTTTTTGGGACACGGACACGACATGTTGTTGGTTCACAGTATGCTGCAAGAAGAAAAAACATGGGATGCTTCATGAACACCGGTCTTCGAGAGGCATGCAGGGAGGGAGTCTTTCACATGTGAAGAACTGGCCCCAGTTATTAATATTTGTTGTCCAAAGGTTTCTGTAAAAACTCTATCGTGGCCAGTTGTAAGAACTCTTAGCAACTCATGTTCTCACATGTCGCTGCCCTTTGAGCAGCGTTTTTGGGGGAGGCGTGGTCCAAAGACGTGTAAGATCATCATATCAAACAACAGGTTTCCAAGTTCTTCACTCCAAACCCAAACAGACTGATGCAGACAACTTAACACTTTCATTCACTCTCATAGATCCAAGCTGCACGTGGTGCCCTTTTGCTCTGGCCGCTGGTCGTTCGCCGAACGATCCGGCCCGCTTCGGATCTGCCGCTCCAGTCTGCGTTTCGGAGACGAAGCGCGTCAGGACGCGCTGGCCTCGCTGGGTGGTATTGATCTGAATGCCGTGCTTCTCCAAAGCACCGTGGTGAAACTCAGTGAACAGGGAGGATGGCGATGAGGGGGTTGGGGGGTGGAGAGCTGCGGTGTGGATCCGAGCCTGAAAGAAGCGACGCGTGCGGCACTGCAGGACACGAATGCACGTGGTCTTGTGCATAATAGGCAGGAGTTCCATGGAACTCCTAGGATCAATGATGATCATCCTTGATGTCCCGAACATGTCTCCGACCCTTACCGACCCCCGCGCACCTGCCCCGATCTCCTCTCGCGGTGTTTTTTTCCTCTCCTCTCGCGAGGCCCTGCGTGGTGCGGTGAAGCCTCATCGCTTCTGAAGGGGTCCCGGCTAGGACTTGGCCGGCCAAAAGATGGGGGTCCGAGTGATGCGAGTGACGGCGAGGCGTGATGGAGCGGACATCGGGGACCTCCATCGGGGGTGGCGTCCTTGAAAGCGTAACACTTGGTGGCGACCTGCAAGTGTTTGAAGTGATCTTGATCGTCAGAAAAAACGATTCATGGCGGCCTTTGCATAGAGATTGCTTTTGAAAGACTTGCACTTAGCACCACCAGGTTCTGTCCGTCTCTTGGCTAAGACGTGATGTACTTGTCTAAGACGTGTTGTTTACTCGAAAGAAAACGCAAAACGCGGAGTCCAAACATGTCGAAACCGTTGGGATCGCTTGGACTCCTGCTTGGGGCGATCGCTGGCTCTCCGATCGCCGGCTCTCTTTTTCAGCTTGGGGCGAGGATCGCTGGCTCTCTGTGCCCCCGCCGGACCAATGGATGTGCCTGTGAGGCTTCCGCCCTCGCCCAACGACCAGGCTCGTCCCTCCGTCCGGATGGAGGGTCGCTACTTGCAGGACACGGCCGTGAAATTGGGCGATGATGCATCGTACGACTTGGAGAAGGCCACAGAGAGGTCAATGATGTCTACTCCGCCGACCATCACCCCTCCCAAGAGTCGGCTGTCCTCGAACAGAGAAGACGAGAAACTCATGCGGAGCAGTTTTTTTGGCCGAAGCTTCTGATTGCATTCGATCCCTACAAGCGGTTTTCCAGAGCGCGAATGCATCGACCTGCTTTTCCCGTTTGGATGATTGGAGAAGAACGGATTTGAGAGCCACAGCGCAGATGCAGCAACATGTGAAGACCCTACAAAGCTTAAACAACTCAGTGGCCGAGTTCTTGCAAAGGTGTTCCGCAGTCGAAACATTTCAGGACTTTCATTCGACCATGGACCGCTTGTCAGAGGCAGTGTGTGAGATGAGGGATTTTCGAAGCGAGTTCACCTCCACCATCGATACCATTGCCAAAGGAGTTGCAGATCGCGTTCTGGCTAGCTTAAGCAAGGATGCGGAAGAACGGTCTGCCTGGCTCCACTGTCAACTTGAGAAGCATGGAGAGGTGAGCTCCGGGGCAACCACTTGGATTAATGGATGGTTTAGTGACGTGGGGATTTGCACATGGATGGTTCCCGAATCCAGTCATTGTTATGTCATTCCACCCTTTCTTCTTATGTTCCCCCGTCACTCGACCCACTCGACCTCTTCCCCGTTTGGTTGTTCAGTGTGGCAAGGTGGGTGTTTGTTTGTCTTGTTGGTCAGGTGCAAGAAAGCCTTGCGGCCACTCAACGCAAGATTTGGCATCGTTTGGAAAGCATGGGCCGATCCATGGAGCAGCAGTTGAAGGAGACCCAACGTCGATCGGATCAAGTGGAGAAATTGGAGGAGGTTCAGAAGGAGGTGGGAATGCGAAAAGCTGGAGGAAGTGCCTTGTTTTGTTTTCTTTTTTTGTGTGTGAGTGTGTGTCTTGAAGTCAGGAGCTGGAGCTTGCAGCTTCCTCCAACCCCTGGGAGACACGCGCTCGCCAGGTGCAGCAGGACTGCCGGACGCTTTTGGAACTCCAACACAGCGTCTTCAAGACCTTTGAGAACTCCTCTGAGCAGCAAGGTGCATTGCAGGACAATATCTTCAGCACTATCTCGCAAGAGATGCAGAGCATGAATGGCGACTTGTTTCAACATCTGAGGGGGTGTTTGAAGATTTTGAAGTAGGATGCGGCACCTTGATGGGTTTACTTGCTATCCCGTCAAATCCAGCAGGGACATCCAGAGCTTTGCTGCCCACAGTGTTGTGTCAAGACAGTAGAAACACTCTCCTTGTGTGGTCTTGATGAAGAAAACTACATTTCAGCTCCACTCTCCTTCTCAGAGATCCCGGGAACAAGCAACATTTGCCTCACCAACACGACATACTACCAGGACCCTCCAAGGAGGTAGTGTGGGGTAGTCCATTGGACACCCCTTGGAGGGTCCAGGTATATTTTGACACATTTCGTTACACTACTCTGTTTTTTCTTCGGTGATGTCCCCTTGCTCCTCCCGCAAAACAAAGCCACCTTCTACTCTGCAGTACTACTTGTACAGTTAGCCTCTGACAGCTTAGCTGGGTCCTTTCCTACTTTCCTACTTTTGGTGCCGACGGTCGTCACCTAGTCAACTCCACTGGACCAGGCTACATCTTTCAATCCCTCGGATGGAGTCCTGAGACCCCGGCGGTGACCGAGAGCTTACACTCGCTGGAAGCTCGACTGATGGAATGGCACTCGCAGACTCTGCACGAGGCAGAGAGCCTTCGCCAGGAGCTCGCGCGGAGCGAGCTGACCCTGCGCGAGAACGAGCGCGCCATCGCGGAAGCCCATCTGCTCAGAGAGGACCGGATCTCTTGGGGCTTTTGGTTGGAAGGTCTGTTTTTGGAGTCTTTTTCGGACCGGCTGCGCAGAGAGGACCACATTCCATCCAAGCCGATGGCAAAAGGAAGAGGAGGTCACTACTAGACTACACCACACTAAACTAAACCCTATCGGTCGTTGGGGTCCTGCTCTATTTTATATCATTTTATGAACCTGGTGTACCGGTTGAACAGTTGGCATTCCAACAAAATCTATTTACAAGTATCGATCTGTCTGTCTGTCTCTGTGTCTGTGTCTGTGTCTGTGTCTGTGTCTGTGTCTGTGTCTGT